GCCACGCCACGCCGGGGGGGAGGAAGGAGGAGGGGGAGGGGAGCGAGGGGTCCAAGGTCGGGGCCCACCGCGAAGATTAGTTATACTGGGGGGGCGAAATATATAGCACGTCACCACCGCAGAAGGACTTAAATGGGATAAAAGTCGTTCTTAAGGTGCAAAAGCAGAGAGGGAGGGCGGGACCGCAGGTCACCGGCGTAAGGAAAATAGAAACCCAGGGAGAGGCAAGGCGGGGAAGAAAGGTGGAAGGGAGGGGGGCGATGTGTAGTCGAGGGGAACGGAGGAGCGGGGGGCGGGGGCGCCGCGGGGGGGCTGTTGCCCGTAATTGAGTTAACATATTTATAAGGCTGACGACGGAAACGGAGATGCAATATTGGGGGAAAGGACGGGGGGAAGGGGGAAGAGCCCACGAAAGGAGCCGGGAATATGACGACATATTGCACAGAAGGAATATTGGCCCGGAGACGAGCCCCGCTGCGGTAATGCATGCGTTAACGAGCGAGTTGGCGCGGCCGGGCGGCGGGGCAGGGAAGGGGGAGGCGAGTAAGAAAAGAATGTGTTCCGCGACAACTGTTATGGCGCAGCCAGTGTGGCCTCTATATCGGCGTGTGCGAACCGACCCGCTCGCAGCACGCTCCAGGAGAGAGGAAGAGAGGGAGAGAGGGAGAGAGAAAGAGAGCCCAGAGCAGTGCAATTTAATAAAGTGGCCCGGCCGATGATGGCGTGTTCGACTGCAGGGCGCTGGTCGCGGCTGGACGCGGGCGGGCGGTCCTCAGGGCGCCCCATTGTCCAGCCGCTCCAAGCGGAGGACGTGTGCAGCTTGGAAACGGCCGGCTGGAGACTCTCGGCTCTCGGCTTAAAGACTTTTGGCGTGCAACGACTTCTCTCTGGCCGTTACACGCGCTCTCGCCGTGCCGTTTGCAGCACAGACACATTGCCCCCCTCCTTCGACTCACTTATTACAAGGCCCCTGCACCTGTCGCCGCCCTCCTCAGCTCCACCTCCACCTCCACCCCCGTCCCTCTAGACCACGTGACTCCTCAATTTGTTGAAGGTGATCCCCGATCCGGGAAATTAAAAACTAAGCACCTTGGCGGTCGGGGAGAGTGGGCTGAACTGGGGTCTGGGGCGGCAGCTGGCCCTAATAAGGGAGAGGGGGTAGAGGAAAGGAGAGAGAGGAATAAGAGATGAGGGAGTAGAGACAAAGCGAAGGGGGCGAGGGAAAAGTCAAGAAGAAGAAGTAGAAGGCGCTGGGCGCGCCGAGCCACGCCGCTCTCCCTCCAATTGCCCATATAACATTTTAGGGGCCCTGGAGGAGCAGAGGGCGGGTGGCATGATCCCGTTGCCCTCTCTCCCTTCCGCCCGCCCGCCCCTCGCCCCTCCCCATCCGGGGGCGAAGGTGACCCTCCTCACACGCCCCTAAATCCTGACCTGGCGAGCGCGACCCGCCCTGGCCGTCCCGAGCGTCCGGCTCTGCCGCAGCCTCCGCTATCGCAGGGATCTACAGGACTGTTTGTCTCATTGGGCTGCGGGGCTGCCCGCTGAGCCGCGCCCCCGCACCCCGCAGGATCGCTAAGCCCGTGGACCTGAGAGGTGCTGATTATAAAACTAACCCGCTGAGCTCGCCGCACGGCTATTGGGGGATATCCCGTGAGTTATGCGAGTTGGCAACACTTCTTCGTATCAAACTTGCCGCGCACCGCCCGCCGCCGACACTCGCGATCCTCCACTTTCTCTTTCCCTTACCGCCCATTTCTTGATGGTGGTTTTGAGCCACGCCCTCGCGACGGAAATACCCGCCCAGTTTATAAATATACCTCCCCCCCAAAAAAAGTCGGATGGTGGCACCGCTGCACTTTAACGAGGCGCCCTTTTAAAAGGATTCCGTTGGCACCGCGGCGCCCGCACTCAGTCGCTGCCGCAGACACGTAAAAGGCGCGGGCGTTACGTAAATACTCCGCGGAGTAAGCGTAAGTGTCCTGGCCGGGCCCGGCCCGGCCTCGACGGGTGCGCTGATGGGCGGGTGGCCGGCGTGCCTGTGGAGATACTCCAAGAGCCAAGGGACTTTTAGAGTCTCAACGTGACGCCAGGGTAAAGAGGGCCCGTCCCCAGGCACGGCCGCAGGTACCAGAACAACTCCCCTTCCTCCCAGGCTGGCTGGGCTAGTCTGGTCCGCTGCAGTCGCTGCGCGCCGTCGCCCGCTTGACTGTCAGCGTTGTACTCTTTGGATCACATTTTACGGCGTCGTTGGGCCGAGTTTTGTGGGGCCGTTACCGCACCGTTATCTTTACCGTGCCGGAGGGGGTTGGGGGGGCGCATCGTCGGCGTAGCACAGCCAGGTGGGGGTAGGGGTAGAGAATTGCAGGTCGTACCGCCAGCCAAGCACGGCCAGGTGGGGGTAGGGGTAGAGAATGACAGGTCGTACCGCCAACCAAGC